AGTGCATTAAGATCTCTCAAAGTCTCTCATCTGATTTAGTGGCGGCTGTATTAAATCGATGACTACCCGGAAATTCAATATTTCGATAACGCCTGACGAAAGGTCATTTCCTGATAATTCAAGATTTCGATAACATTTATGTCACGTCCCCTCGATAAAAATGTATTTATAAAATTATATGACCAAATCTTGTAAAATATTTGTATTCTGCAATTATATACAGAGTGTCTCGTACTCAATGATACAGCGCTTGTGGGCAGGTAGTGAGGGATCAAACTGAAAAAAAAAGTCCTCCACCATTTTGCGATCTTCGCAACAGTTATCGAGATACTAATCATTTAAAAAAAAGAAAAAATTTTACATAATGGCCAAGTTTTTGCTTCACTATGATTTGATCATTTTAATAACTTTAAGTCTGTTTTACGAAACTTAAAGTTATTGAGAAAGATAATGGCATTAAACTTTTGCTGCATATAATTTTGAATAATTTAATCGATTTATTAAAAAAATAGTTTTCTGGTTTGGAATAAAATATTTTTGTCTCTATTCTCTATGTCTAATCAAATACTTGGCAATTTGTATGATCTCATATTTGTTTTTGGACAACTTTTTATTTGATAAAATAATATTTTTGGTTTAGATAAAATGTACCTAATGTACGATACACTTGTATATACTTGGCGTAAATTTTTTAAAATGATTAGTATCTCGATAACTATTGCGAAGATCAAAAAATGGTAGACTTTTTGTTCAGTTTGGTCCACACTACCTCCCCACAAGCGCTGTACCATTGAGTACGAGACACCCTGTATAGATATATTTCCAAAAATAGATATAATAATGCCGATCTTTTATGAAATATTAATTACTGTTTGTGCAATTTATATTTCAAAATAGTATTTCGATAAAACAGTAATGATATGGCGAATTATCTTAGCGGCAGATTTGAAAAATTAAATTTGAAAAGAAATTGTCCAATAATTGAGAATAATATTTTAGCTGGTAATGTTTAAAACATTTAGAAATATATAAATTGCGCATATAAAAGAAATAAATCAAATCAAATATATGCACAATTATTCCTAAATTCTGATGTAGAAGTATTAAAAACATGAAAATTTTAGCATATTCATTTAGCACGATAAAATTTTAAAAAATGAATCGAACAATAAATATTTAATTAACTTAATAATTAAAGTACAAATAAATATTAGGTCTGAGAATGCTATAACAAATATTACTGTATTATATTGTGACAAATATTAAAGTGATTTTATGTTTTTAAGTATTGCAATAATTATATATAACATGCTTATATTTCAAATTAGATTTGTCTAATTGACAAATATTTAGAAATGTTGACAAAACTGTTACATTATGGCAAATCATCTTAGCGCAATTATAAATTATTAGAAATTTTTGTCATAAAATGATGCCATTATATTGTGCAATGTGCAATGTTTTCACAATATTCCTATCGGAGATTATATTCACGGGCGGCACTTTGTTTAATCGGACTTTTGTGGTAAAACTGATAGCGTTTTCGATTTGTTAACTCGATCCGACTCCGAGTCGATGGTCTGTTCTTTTTAGCTATAAAAAAAATAGTTAAAGTGTACAAGAAACGCTAAAAAGAACAGATTATTTTAACTCGGAGTCAGATCGAGTCAACAAACGCTATGAATGTCTTTTCGCCGTTCGATATTGCATCTTGGACGCCTCGTAAAGTTACGGGGAAAGGGGGAGAGGAGAGGGAATTTTTCGATCGCTCTAAAAGAGGAATCTCGTTTACAACTCGTGGGTCGCAGGTCGCGGCTGACTGACTCACAATGCGCGATTCTGGTCGCTGTACGTATACATATAGATATCCGGAGGACTTTTTTCTTCCTCCCCGTAAACGAGTTCCCCATCGAACCGGAAAACGTAGCACGCGCGCCGTCGAGAGCGTTGGTCCATTACGTCGCGACGGAAAACGCGGTGGAGAACGGTGATCTCGACCGACTGGGCGGCCGAAGATAAATCGCCATCGCCAGCCGCCTCGCGTATATGCGCGCATATTGTGAAATAATATTTAAAGTATGCGCAAGCTGCATACGCGTGTTGCGTCGGTGTTTGCGCGCAAACAGCCACGACTTTAAATCAAATGCGCATCGATTAGAATACAGTCCGTATATTTACGGCAAAAGCGATCGTACTTTTGCGCGCCCGCACATTCGAATACATGTCTATTCAAATACAGTCGAACCTCGATAACGCGAACCTCTACAACTCGAAAACCTCTATAAAATGAAAATTTTGTTCATTTCCTTCTGCTTACGGAAAATCTCGAATAAATCGAAATAAAACCTATCTTAACTCGAATTATTTGTCAGATATTTAGATGTATTTTTTTCAGGATTGGATATAGTTAATATATTTTTTAACTAAGTTAAAGTTAACAGTTTTAAAATTTAATTTAGATACAAGTTAATCTAAAATTATAAAATAAAAAAAATTGACTTTTCAATTACTTTTCAATTACTTTTTTTTATTAACTTAACTTTTAATCCATAATAAAATTAATTGAATTAAAAATCAAGTTAATAAAAAAAAGTAATTGAAAAGTTAAAAGTCAATTTTTTTTATTTCATAATTTTAGGGCTTCTAAATAAAGTTTTTAAATAAAGTGTATATTTGTTATATTTATTTCTGTCGAGCCGCGGAAAGAGGATTTTGAAAGACTTTTTTCAACATGATTTAATGTATAAAAGATCCGCGAAGAGTGATTTCTTCCCGCGGCCAGGACTGCACTGAGAAAAATGGTTTGTTTGTAACAACAAGATGTATATGGCTGAATGAATTTTGGTGAAACCAAACAGAATTTCGGATTATAATAAGAGGATTTGATATTGTATTACTAGAACGTTTGATAGACTTTACTATACGGATTTAATTAATATTTTCTAGTTAGATCTACAAAATTTCTGGTTATATTAGTATCGCTCTATCGCCACAAGATGGGCATGAGACGAATTCAATTCTCGTATTTAAGAATCACTACGGAATAGTACAAAAGATGCAGCATCA